ATATATTGAATATATATTGAATATATATTGAATATATATTGAATATATATTGAATATATATTGAATATATATTGAATATATATTGAATATATATTCAATATAATAACCAAAACCCGTATTGAATAAATGATTGCTCTGTTTGATTTAAATGCCTGTTGAAGATCAGTGACAGGCAGGGATTGAACCTGCATTTTCTGTGCCCCAGCACCTCACTTTATCTTTCAGATTCAGTCACAGGGCATGCCGTGGGCATGCGAGCTGACCAGGTACTTTGCTAGTCATGGTCGTGCTGCTCTTGCAGGGACTGACTCTGCATCTCCGGAGTTGCTGTTTGGAACTTCCCAGCCTCCATGCAGAAGGCAAGGGACAAAGCATTCATTTAGAAGAGGTAAAACCTGAGCAGCAAGCTTTGGTTGTATGATTTATGACATAAGCATATGAAGTAAAAGCTCCCTGTGGCTTAAGAATTGGCCCTGGTTTGATACAGTCAAGCCTTGTTAATCTGCAATTAGCTGATCTATGCATACAGAGTCTTTCCTACGTTTTAGCAAGCAGCAATAGGCCTCACGTTTTTCTTGTTCACATAGTGTAGTAGATCTTAGGAGTATAGTAAAACAGCTTTCCTATATGTGTGTTATTTCTCTGCTAGTAGTTCACCTGTTATTTTATTCTTCAAGGAGGATGTGCAAGTAAAAGAATGAATAGCTTTTCAGATTGTGGATTTATACAGGGTATTGCCATGAATAAGGTAAGATGAAGTACAGTTTGAAAAGCAGTTCACCCTGCTTAACATGGAAAATGTTTCCTTGTTCATAGCTCAATGAACTGGAGAAATCAGTAACACTTTTTTTCTGGCAGATGCAGAGAGAACATCTGTCTTCTGTAGTGTCTGTCTGCCATATCCTGTAGAATAAGGTTCATGTTAGCTGTGTAGATAAGGTCTGATAACAGATGACTTTTTACAGTGAGTTGATAACTTGTTATTTTCCTCTGCAGTGACTGGTCTTGGCATAATGACATATGGTAAAACAGTAAAAAGATAAAGGCAGATATTATTTGTTATTACTTAAACGTATAGGCACACGCTTCATCTTTGAGGCTGCTGAGTTCATTTACTTTATCGACTGTTGTATAACACAATATTTTTTTGGTGAGCTGTAAGCAAGTCTTGAACTTCTGGCCTTTAAAACATGAACTGCTTTCCAAGGTGGCAGATCAGTTTACTGGGACATTTGCAGTTGGATTAATTTTCCCTCTGGTCCAGCTCCTGCTCATGATAGTGATGCACCAACGTACTTGTGTATATGTAAATGTGTAAACCTGTGCAAACACCTACACCCGTATTGTACGTGAGCAAGAGAACTGTGGAAAGCGCTTTATTCCAGAGCCAGAATTCCCCTCCCGTTTCAGTTGAAATGGGTCAGCTGCTTGGATAAAGAGCTGCCTGTCTCCTTCCTGCAGAGGTCAGGAAATTTGGCCTCCTCAAAGCTGTACTTGAGAGCTGACCTGAGGATGGAGAAACTCAGGTGATTGTACACGATTCCTTCAGGAAAGGGAATCTCTCTGCCAGCCATATGTAGACCTAGACAAACATGACTTGGATTTGCTTGCTTGACGTTTATCTGCTACGCAGGATTTTCTGCAAATCTCTCTTTCCAAGCAACTGACTAAATCCTGGTGCCTTTCTATAACCTGTGCAGAACTAACTCTGAAAAGGACGTTGATGGAGCATTTGTGGGTTTGCTTTTAAACCAAGGTGGACCCGTGCCCACTCATGTGGAGTGTCTGCGCCAACGCTGCCGTTTGGGCTGAGCTTCTGCTTCCCGCAGCTGGTGGCCGGCGCTCGGGCCTTGCGTGGCCTTTCCCTCTGGCTCCTGGACTGAAATGGGATCCATTGCTGACGTCCTCTCTGTTTCCCTGGCTAAATTTAGGCATTAAATCAACCCTTTCTAATTAAAGAGAAAAAGGTATACAAGCACGTTGGTGCATCTCACCGAGAGACAGGTGATACTGTCCTGAACATCAAGGTGAAATGCAACGGAGGGTGTTGCAGAAGACCGAGGTGTAACTTTGTGTCAAGGTTATAGCCCCATTTTCAACTTTTGCTGCCTAAAGATACCTCCCTTGCAAGCCAGGCCTCATGCTGCATCCCTCAGCCCAGCCTGTGGCAGCCAAGATACACAGAGCTGGATCTGCGAGCCGTTTCTGTGCTCCTTGACTTTGCACAATCTGCCAGAGGCATTTTGTGTGATGCAGATATTCCCTCACTTTTTTCTGGGCCCTGCTCAGCTGCTTTGCTTTTCAGCAGCATGTGGTTTTATCATCTTCCCTTCCCCCTCTTTCCCTCCTTCAGATCATGCAGACTTCTAACGGTATGCTCCTTTTTTTTCACCCACTTCATCTCATGCAGCATTCAATTCTGTAAGTCATATGTGCTTCAATAATTAGCTAAATGGTTTGCTTAATGGCCCAGCTCTCATTTTACCCTGACAAATCTTTCTCAAGTCTCAAGCCTTAGTTTCTTATCTATTTCATATTTCCCTGTCTTGGTTTATCTCTTTAACTGGCCAGCAACTCCCTGTGAACCACAGTGGCTACTGGAGATCCCTGTTGCTCTTTCCATATGTTCCTCCTTCCCAGCCCTTCTCGCCTCCATGACTCTTATTGCCAAGCTTAATTTCATGAGAAAATTCCTTTGCTTTGTCCCTCTTCCGTTTTCTTGCTTTATGGGTCATTTTGAGCTCCTGTTCCCGTTATCTGTGAATCTTATTGTTGCATCCGATGTCAGGATGCTCTTGTGCTGTTGTAAATCCCTATGGCAGAAGAACGTATGGAAAAAAGATACTGCTAGATCATAGGCTTGGACTTGTAAAAATGTCCAAGGCCCCTCTTTTAAGAGACTGCTGCCCTCTGTATTTGAAGGGCTTGGAGTCTTTTCGGAGGCGCGTAGGCAAGTTTGACTTGGCACAAATACTTTGTGTTTGTTTTAATCGCTGCGGTGCTTGTTGCTTTTGGCTGCGGCTGCCTTGTCAGTTACTGCTTTGCAGCTTCCTCCTGAAGGTGTAAATGCAAGAACCTGATTTTTTTCCCCAAAAAAAAGAATTGGCTCCCAATTTCCGCGTGAACTCCTTTTAGAAAGCCTCCAGTCAGCCCCTCAAACCAGGAAGATGTGCAGAACAAGGCAATTTCTGTTTGCAGGCAGCTTGTGTGAATATGGGGCTTGTGGATAGAGTTATTTGTGGTTTGTGTGTGCCATAAATTTTACTAAGGACATGTTTTTCTCTCTTTATTAATCTGATACTGCTTGAGACATTTTTCTTTAGACCAACATCAACCTTTTGTGAACTTCAGCTAACGTGCTTGCTTTGTCAGTCATTTTGTTATAAATCACTGGGTTCAGGGGAATTGTGCTGGATTTAAACTTCAATCTGGGCGTGCAATTAATATTTGAGACTTGTTCAACAGCTGCACATTTTTGGGTGAGTCTAACCTGTGAAAACAAAATTAGAGGCTGATTACAGTAATATATTCTGTGCTGCCTTGCAGTACAACCTATGTTTTCATGATCTGTTTCATTCTTTAAAATTATGTCTTTATCCACTTGCCTGTTGCTTTCCCACAAAAATTGCTGTTTGTAATATGCGAAGTATATTGAAGAAAAAGCCTTCTCAAAGGTCATCTAATGGTATGAGAAAGGAGAATTGCACTGACTTCTTTCTGTTCCCCCAAATCTCACCCTTTTAGACAAAAGGATTATTACAAATAACAAAACAATCTCTAGCAGTTGTTTCTTTCTGCAGTGACCTGAATGTTTCCTGCAAATTACTAATCGAAGGAGAAAAACGTTGATGGATCTCATGCAAGCAAGGAGGAAAGCAGCACATCATTATCCCCTTGGTGAAGCAGAGAAGTGTGGGCAGCTTGCGAACTCTGCTTCTCTGCCTTGTGAAGGCTCCCAAAGATCCTTCACAAAATTGATCTAAGGGATCAATTTTCCCTTAAACTTGGAGTACCCAGAATTGTTTTGATTTCCTGAACTCTGTCACTGTTCTTAGTCCTGTATGAGTCAGGCTGGTGCTCAGAGCTGGTATTCCTGGTGCTGTTTGGTGGCTTATTGGCAAGAATTTGCAGTTCAAATCTAGCCCCTCACAAAATGACCCATAAAAGTGGTTTGCCTGGGCTGCTTCATGGCCCTTTTGGGCACAATATGCTCTTATAGAGTAGAGCAAAAAGTAGTGTTATGTTCTTCAGTTAAAGTAGCAATTCTGCTGCTGATGGGGACAAGGGGAAAAGGGATCAATGTTTTGTACAACTTCTCTTGCTCTTCATCTGTGCAAAGACCAGGAAGCAAATAGGTTTTTGATTGCAGTTTGTTTAATAATGTGTACTTTTTCTGTCCGGCTTTGATTTGACCTGACTGGGCTGTCCTGCTATAAAGAAATTCCTGGAGTTTTTCCTCTTAGTTTGCTTAGCTGTGGAGACTCTGTCCACCTCTGAGCATTTGTGGAGGGCAGGGAGAAGAGCAGTGTCCCTGGAGCTCTGCACAGCACTGGGCTTTCTGAATGGGGAAGGAGAGGGTGTCTGTGAGGTTGGTATGAGCGGGATGGAGAATGAAATGAGTGACTTGTAAAGACCACTGGAAAAGTACAGGCAAGGAACTGTAACCATTATTCTAGTCAATAGATTAAGATGGTACTTTTGAATAGCTCCCAGCTTTGCAGCTTTGTGGATAAGTAGGATCTATTTGTGCTCTCCTAACCTTCTGCTTTGTCCTCCTGACTTGTTGGGGCACTGAGGGCAAAGGGAAGGTAGGGACAGCGGGGACACCCGTGCCCGGCCCAGCAGCGTGTCTGGAGAATGAACATTGCAGAGGGGCACCTAATAACTGGAATTACTTTGCAGAGCAAACAGCATCTGAGGTTTTTCCATTCAGTGCAGCACAGTGTAATTTGTGATCCTGAACTATTCATATCACCTAGATTTGGCAGCAAGTAGCATAGCAGCTGAGAGATTTCGCTGATAAAATATTCATGCTTTATGGAAGCTGCTAGCCTTACCCTGGAAAGAGGCAAATTTGCTGGCTTTCCTGTACACCTGAATTTCTGCCAAATATTCCTTCTCTTTGCTGTATATTGCATTTTCATAATGGGCTTGGAGGGTGATCTGACAGAAGCTGTGTTTTGCTGCAACACACTTGCATGGAACAGGAGTATCTCTCTGTAACCCTGCATCCTTATTTAATGTTTTGCAGTCTTGAGGCTGCCAGCATCGGATTCATCATCATCATAGACAGACGACGGGACAAATGGAGTGCAGTCAAGGCATCGCTGACACGAATAGCAGTAAGTGCCTGCCTTTGTTTTTTATCTTCTAGAAATTAAAATTATCTGCTGAATCTTCAGCACAGGATGCAGCCTCTTGAGCTCACTTTCAGCTTCTTTATTTTGGCTGTTGATGCAGCTTCTCCTCAACCCCTGAGCTCATGAGTGTTAACCAGGAGGTGGAGGAAGCTGCAGTAACAGATTGCAAACCTTGTTTACTGCTGAATTGGGGCAGCTTTGTTATTTTCCAGGGTTAAAGTCTGGTGATCTAAAGTGGGTTCCCAGAAGTAGGAGAGCAGCAGAGCCTCCTTTCTGTGCACCCAGCCAGAAGTGACAGCAGGGCTTGTTTGGGAAAGAAGGATGCCAGGGGACTTGGGTTTATCTGGTAGTAGGTGATCCATCTCAGAAAAAAATGTCCTAAGATAGCTCGTTTGGGCAGGTCAGAGTTAAGCTGATTTTCAGTGCTGATGAAAGCAGGTGCTGTTGTACGTGTGTTACCTGGACCGTGTGCTCTGTAAGGAGCCCTCAGTTGTATGTATCAGCTCTGAGGTTTAGGGTAGAGGGATGTCCAAGGGGAGTTTAAGTCCCCTCAGGGAATGTGGAAATTGGCTTTCATTTATTGTTCTTTTATCTTCCTTCTAGTAGAAATTGTTCTTTTTGATGCTTTATGAGCTCAGGGAAGGATGGCAGGAGTTTTGCCTGGGCGTTGTGAACGGGGGCTGAGCCTGAGGAAAGTGCCAGGTGGCTGTGTGGGAAACGTTTAAAATGTTAACAAAGAAAAAGAAAAAAGGTTTAAAAAACCCTTTCCAGGGTGTGAAGACAGGTCAGTCAGTCTGGGGAATCCATCTATGCCCCTGTTTCTGTCCCTAGGAAAAGGGGTGGCTGAGGTAGAAGCTCCAGAGCTTTGTGACAAACCTCTGTGAAACCACTGCATGGGGCAGGCAGTGACATCCAGCCTGTCCTCTGCCTGCGGCTGGACGGGCTCAGGATCCATGTGTCCCACCTGCGACTCCCCGTGTTGGCCTTCCTGCAAGGCAGACTGGTCCCTTCTGATCGCTTGGTATTCCTTGCAGGGAGCGTTTCCAGGGAACCTGCAGCTGGTGTTTGTGCTGCGGCCCTCCCGCTTTATCCAGAGGACAATCGCTGACATCGGCATTAAGCTCTATCGGGATGACTTTAAAATGAAGGTACCGGTAAGCATGCATATTTTTTGGTCCATGCATCCTCCTTATCTCCATGTCTGCAGTTCCAAGGTGTCAGCAGACTTCTCATAACCCATAATTAACATTTGATTGCAAGTGGCAGTCGGCAGCTTTGATCTGGATCTGCACAGTGGATATGGTGTCAGAAGGATTCAGCTGAAACCTGAATGAGGTCGAACAAGCTTTGAGATGCATGTGGGAATGGTTGCAACTAGCTTCATTATGTGGATCAGATGACTTATTTTGGCTTTCATTTCACCGTTAGGAAATACACAAACAGGTTCTGCTCTTTTCCAGTATTTAGCAGTGGCTGCTTAGGTTGTTTGTGGGATTTTCCACCGTCAGTTGCAGCAATGACAAAGAGTTAACTTGCTAGATGTTTAGCAGGATTTGAATACCCGTGTTCCTCTGCAGAAAATCACTCTAGCTATAAACTGGGCTGAAGCAGTGTCAGCTGTTACCACGGGGTAGGTGGTGGCTGAGCTCATCTCTGCAGTGACCAACACGTGGCTGGGGTGGCCACACCACGAAGGCTACAGCAGAAGCCTGCACCGGGCTGTGTGTCATCCATGGAGCCACTGGGACTCTGGCAACATCCTGGTTCCGTGTTTGCAGGGAATGGCCTCCTTGTGATACCTTTTATGGTCCCCACCCACACAAGGTTCAAAACTCATGTTTTGCTTCCTTCTCTCCATACCTGACATGTGCCAGGCTGGTGGGAGTGTGATTGGCAGCGGATGATCCAACCTGAGACACTTGAAGTTTCAGGTTGTTCCATGTGAGTTCCTCTGGAAATGTTCCTAACTGCGTGTTTGCCTCTGGTCTCAAGGCATTTTATAAATAAACTTGTATGATGATTATTAATGGCATTTCATCTTGGAACAAACCCGTGCTGTTTTCCATACTGCTTTTACCAGAGTGATCTCACATCACTGTTTTGGATTTTGTTTCTGGTTTTAAATTGTTTTACAGAAGACTCATGACTCTCCTCCGGCAATTACCAGACTCTGTCACTGCCTAAGTTTTAAGCTCAGATATTTAAGACACTTTTTGCTTCTGCTAAGTCTGAGACAGAAGCCTATCTATTACAGGGAATACACAAGAGGAGCTGTGAATATTTCTTTTGGTATTGTGGCTTAAATAGAGCTATTGTCTGCAGGCTGACCAGGGTGCCTTCTCAGTACTAAATTGATATTAAAAATGTGTGTTCAAGTACAAAGCAAAATCTTTTAATTTTTTAACACTTGTTTTTTTTAATGGGTGCTCCTGTATTTAGTAAGCCTCAATTTGTTCCCGTAGCAACCACCAGGCATAACTTGATGAGAGATGAGCATTTGCTAGCAGCTCAGCCTCTCTTGAGCTTTTAGCAGTTTACTTGGTGACACGAGGTCCTTTCAAGTTTGAAACTCCCAAGTCTAGAGGGGAGGATACTTGCAAGCAAGGATGAAGAACTGCATTAAGTTTCTCAACTTCAGAGCTGCTGAAGTTATTGGGAGGGCATCCCCCTGGGCATCCTGCATGGCAAACGTAAGGGCGGTGCCACAGAGCCCTGGTCCCAAGGGAACTATCCATACTGAGGAACTACATATCAATACCATTCATAAATACCAATATAAACCTTTAAGCCACTTGCAGATTTGTACGTGTTTTGCATTTGGCATTGTGACAATGTTAACATCATAACTGGGTCATGAATAGGTTGCATTTCCTATAACTAGAAATAAATACAAATAAGAGCCATGCCAGGAACATTCGAAAGAGGCTACAAGAGTGTGGCATGAATTTGATAAGAAAACACATGTTTATCCTGAGCTATCAGGATGCAAATATGTTCAGTAAAATAGATCTGCTGAGTTAAATCAACATTGGGTTGAACACAAACTGGAAGATTAAACAGAAGCAATAAAGAGGCTGAAGTAATAAAACCAGACACAAAATGAGAAGGCAGGGCTTATACAGCTTACTCGCATATAAATGCGATAAGGCTGATAAAACCTGCAGAAAAAAAAAATAGAGAAATTGTCACTTCCCAGGAACAAGATATGCGGGTTCATCCAAGATACAATCTGGAAAATAGTGAGGAACGTGCAGGGAATAGGGCCCATGCTCTCCAGCTTCTGTTGCTGGAGAATGGCTGTCCTCACTCTGGCGAGGAGCACAGGGTGCACTAGGACTCTATAAGAGCTGTTTCTTAGAGAGATGCTGGATGGCTCTCAGTTACTCTCCTACAGGAGGATGTAGCGCCAAATCTGGCTATATTAAAAGATTTGCTTTGTCTCTTGGGCTGAACACATCAGGTTAGAACAAACATCTTCATGGAAGCAAAACACATGGCAACATTCTGCAGTTTTATTGAAGTTTGGAGCATCAAAAGGTTTCTAACTTGTGAGCAAGCAGTCTGTGGGGGAAGAGCTACAAGGCCAGTAAGACTTATGTCTTCTCAGAGGTGATCTGCAATTGAGCAGCAGCGCACAGGCTCACGCTTCAGGCTGAGGTTAATCTGAGATGATCTAGATTTGAGTCGTCTGCCTAAGATCATCCCAAAGCAGCTTTTGGCTTCACGTGCAGGGAGCAGCCCTCCCTTTAGCTTTGATGGAGGCTCCAGGTGCTGAGGGAGCTGGGCTTGTGTGTCCTGGGAAAGGGTGGGCTGGGAGGGGACAGCCTGACAGCAGCTCTGCGATATCTCCGAGCAGGTTGCTGAGAAGATGGAGCCGGGTTGTGCCTTCGCAGGAGGACAAGAGATGACAAAGTGAAACAAGAGAGGTCCTGCCTCAATACAAGGAAAAGCACTTTCATCATGAATACTGTCAGGCAGTGGATTAGGCTGCCCGGAGAGGTCTCACAGTCCCAAATCTTGACGATTTTTAAGATTTGTTGGATACAGCCCTGAGCAACCTGGCCTGATCTCAAAGCTGACGCACCTTTGAGAATGCTGGATTAGAGACCTGAGATTCCTGCCAGCCTGAATTATTCTGGGATGGTTCTCTAACCTAAATCGGTTTACAAACTTGTTTAGGCTTGTCCCTAAGACTCTTCTCACAGCACTGTGCAGCTTAAAATGCACCTCTGCTTTCCCATCTATGCTCCTCTCGTTGTGCTCAGTGTTGCACTGAACTCTCTGTTGGAGTTAATGTGTGCTAACAGGCAGAGCCACTTACCCTTTCTTAAACAGCAGAGCCATGTAATACATTTGACACATCTGCTCAAGCCTACGGTTTAAGATTTGCATTTATTTGTGCTTAACACCTTGTTTTCTGGTGTTGAAGTCATAGGGTATTTTCTAGCTGTTAGGATAACAAGGTATAATTAAATTCATGTGGGTTTTTTTGCATTACTGCTTGTGTCTTGTTAGATGTAACATTTACAGTGCTAGCCAAAAACTAATAATGTTTACCTGAAGCTCAATGCGATGCAGTGTGGTTTTGCTTTCATTTAAGCAGATCTAACGATCAGAGATGGTTTAGAATGAGAATAGGGATTTAGGCTTGTCTCTTCTTTCTCTTACACCATGATAAAATAGGAAAAGCACCACTTGGTGAACACACACTGACATAAAACGATGCAAATGAAAGGAGAATTTTGTTCTTAGTCATGTAGTTTCATTTGAGCTCTTCATGGATCCAGCTGTTGATCTTGAGGAAGTTGTTTAGCCTGTTTCACAGTAAATAATGATTTTCTACAGAATGCGAAGGTGTTTTGATGAAATTTCAAGTGAATATCATAAATACCATACTTCTTTTCCTGTTGCATGTGTAAAACAGCTTCATCCTCTGCCTGTTGGGGAGCAAGGTGATATCAGCTTATACATAGTTCAAAAATTACCATGTGCATGTTGAGAAAGCAAAATGTAGTGAAAAAAACTGTGACCATTCCATGGATAAATACATAATGAGAACTTAGTGGCTGTGGTGGAATTGCACTTTGACTGTATGTGTTAAAGGCAAACCCTAGACTCCTAGGAAGAGTGGTGAAAGGGCTCACGTTTCTCTCAGTTGATCCGTTGTGTTGGGGTCATCGTTTCAGATCATCATGTTGAACTCGGTCTCTGATCTACACGGGTACATCGACAAAAGTCAGCTGACACGTGAGCTGGGAGGAACCCTGGAGTACGGGCACAGCCAGTGGATCCATCACCGAACCGTGAGTGCTGGGGATGCTCTCCCTCGTGTCCACACCCGAGGGGGACCAGGGGATGGCCACAGAGCAACAACCAAGGAACAGCTCCCCAGCTATATTTCACCCTGCAAATTTTACTACAGATTCATGAAAAGAGGGAAGTTACGACCCAAAGCGAAAAGAGTAAATTCCACAAAAGCTTCTAACTGAAAGTTAACTTGTATTTCAGTTTCAAGTTGGTCTAGGCTCTAACAGTGTCAGCATTCCTGCTCAGCAGGTCCTGTGGGCACGTTCTTAATTTCTGAATACTTGATGAAATTCATAGGCCTTCAGATCGTGTTTGAAGTTGAACACGTGCGTTAGCACTTTAATGAATCAAAGTTCAAGATTCTCACTTTAATGAGCAATTATATCTATGTTTCTAAGAAGAAAAAAAAAATCAGGGTACTGGATTTTATTTTCCTTTGTTTTCATCTCTGTGCTGTGTAAACATATGTTCCAGCTGGGTCTCATTTCAGTAACCTGAGAACAATTAATAATTGTAGGAAGGCAGAAAGGGTTTTTATTCTTGGCTTGTAGGAAACTTGTTACTGGCTTGATGGTTCCTTTTTTTTGGGTTATTTAACACCTCTCATTGGGTGATCTTCGAAACAGTGTAAACACCCAGAAAAGGTGTGAACTTACAAAAAAAATGAATTTCAGATCATTACCAGCCGAGGTACCAGTTATTACCAGAGGTAATAGATCATCGAGGTACCAGATCATTACCAGTTTCAAGGTGAGCCTGGATATGCAACCTGAAAATTTGGGGTTACATTTATTTGAGCATTTTTACCAAGCACAGAGGCTTGAAAACAAAATTGCTACCACAGCCTAGGAATATGAAGGAATTTGTTGCTCGTGCCACCAGAATGGGCTGGGGCAGGTGTGCAATTATGCTGAGCACTCATGAGCTCCCCAAAACTTGTGCTAGCCCTGCCTGGTGCAGGGCATGTTTCAGGTGACACGGCAGGGCAGCTATGCATCTTTGTACCGTAATTGTCTCTGCAATCTGCCTTCTGAGCAAGGGCCTACCTCTGCTGTGCTTTTCCACAGTCCACAGCATAGTTTTTACTGCTGTGGTTGCAGATGAGACGTCCTTATCATTGCAGGAGAAAGGAGTGCAGCTTTCACCGGCTTTGTAGTGTTTGGGTGTAAGAGACCCTCATGCTGTTAGCTAACTCAAACTGTAGTATGGTTAAGATCAGAGAAAGTAAAGAATAGAGAGCTATAAGAGACAAGTTGTTTTTTTTTTTTTTTTTTTTTTTTTTCCTGTACCTAAAGAAACTAGGCCATGACCATTAAAAATCCCCATGCAGTTACTTGGTATGAGATTCAAAGGTTTTAATTGCATATCATGAGTTTGATAAATATGTTTGAAAGTGTTGCATTCTTACTAAGCCTTCCTTGTTTTCACTTTCTGCAACAAAACCACAGCATTCTGCAAGTTTTGTGTTGAGGCACCCAAGGGATAGAGAAGCAGCCATGCTGCAATGGATGCATTTTTCCATTGGCATCAAGTTGCTCTTGTTTTTGTGTCCTAATATGAACAGATGGGGGAGAGAGAGGGAGAGACTGGGATACACTGAGTATGGATAGACAGGATAGAGATGCACAGTTTGAGAAGCAGGAGAGACAGATTGCTGTATACAGACTGTGACTGTGTGAAGATACTTTTTAAAAGGCTTTGCTCTGTGCTTTTGGTATCTCCTCAACTTAAAGCCTTAATTAAAATCCTTAAAACAGCAGATTCCCCCAGCAAGCTTGGGCAGAGAATGTGAAGTTTCAGTCTCGGCTTTGAAGCTGATGCCCGCTGTGGTTTTGTTGTCTGTTAAACCCTGGGAGTTCCCCAGCTGGTTTGTGAAGATGAACTTGTAGACCTGTGAAAAAAGAAAGATCTTTTTGGCACAGGATTTAATCTGTAGCTTGTAGCAGATCTACTCATAGGAAGGAACTCGGGCAGCTTTGCAGGCGTGCAGTGCTCACATGTCTAAAGGGCTCAGGTTGTTACCAAGGTAAGGGAAAATAACCAGTCTGTCACTGTGATCCTCCTGCTTTTCCAGGCTATTGAAAACTTTGCAATGACAGTAAAAACAACAGCACAGATGCTACAGACCTTCGGAACAGACCTAGCAGAGACTGAACTTCCCAACGATGTGAAGTGCACGGAGGAGCTCCTCTCAGCCCATACTGAGCACCACAGCAAGCTGAAGGTGAATGTTGTCGCATGCCGACAGCCCTGTCAGTGTGATGTGTTAGTTTTGGTTTAGCAAAATTTTCCACCATCATTTGGGAGTCCATCAGCTGGAACAACTGAAAGGGAGAGAAACCTGAGTTCAGGAGTACAATGCAACTGTGGAAGAAGTCTCTTCACAGCTTCAGGAACAGTAGTAGAACAGGGAAGTAGTGCTGCTATGTAAGAAGCTGTGGTGGGATCACATCTGAGATCAGGTGGGCTCTTGATGAAGAGTTCATGAGAAAAGATGAACTCACATTGGAGCAGATATAGAGAACATCTGTAAGAATAATCCAGAAGCAGACAGATTGATTTATTTAGATGATTGTTGTAACTTAGGAGAATTTTAAAAATAATTGAAAAAAAAAAAAAAAAAAGGTTGGGGCATATTTAACTTCAGATAATAAGGTTCAGAAAAACATTTTAAGTTCCTCATGGCCTCATGATTGAACAGAAGGAAAAAAGAAAACACTGTTTCAGTTATTTCAGCGAAAGAAGAAAAAAGTATCATGAGCTTGGGCTGGATAAGAAGAACGGATTTTTACCAGTCAAAGCAGTAAGGTTCTGGAACACTCCTTATGTGTGATTGGTTTGGTGGTGGTCTTTCATTGGGCTTTTGAAAGGGCTATAAAGCTGTCTGGAGTAAGCAGATCTGTCCCAGCTTTGTGTTTGTGTTGCTGCAAACAAAATTTGCACTGATTCTACCTTTGGGAGTATGGGAAATAAACAGAGAGTAGGAAATAAATAAGCACATAGTCATTCTCTTTCTCCAGCAGGCATGTGACTAATGATTGTCTTCAGAGTGTTTTAGGAATTACAGCAGCTGGAGAAAAAAATCCTGCAGGGGCTTTGCCTAGTGCTGGAGACTGGGTAGAAGGGTACTCAGAGTGCAGGAGGCTGCTAGACAGCCTTGTCTCTATTGGTTTTAGTCGTGCTCGTGTCCCAGCACAGGGAGAGCTGACCAGCCTTGTGCAGCAGGTGCAAGGATCCCTGCAAAAAGGCTGGTGACAGGACATTTCCATGGGGAACTTCACTCCTGAAAGCAATGCAGAGGAAGAAAGTGCAGTGGTGGAAAATGTGGGTGAAGGATTTAGTGGCATGAGAGTGAATTCTTCATTCATTTGGAGAGTGGGCAAAGCTGCTTTCTCCCATGTAGCCCTCCAGTCATACAGTCCCCTTTCAACTGGTACTGCCACATAGGTGGTGTTTGTGCTGCTGTATTCCAACTTACATGAGCTATAGCTATATAGATGTGATGATGTTCCTTGGTGGAATCCCCAACTTACAGGAAAGTAAGAAAGATTGTGTCATGGATATCCCCTCACGACTTAAAAATAGGTTTCAGGATGATCTTGTGCTCTGGTTACAAAGCCATCTGCACTGCAGCCCAAACTCAGCCTCTCCTGTAAAACCTGGAAAACAACTGGAGGTACGAAAGCAGCCTTCTCCAAAATGTAACTGCTCAGTTAAACAAGAGTTTACCCATGGCCTCTACTTGTGCTTATTTGGTCCTCTTTAATGGATTGTGTAAGAGTCAAATCGTTGTTACTGCATCTTCATTTGTACATGTATGGAATTTGACGGAGGAGTTAACTTTGTTTTTCAGAGTCATGCAGTGATATGCAATCTCTTCCAGCTGATATGTTAATTTTTGAGCCCTCTTTCCGTTTTCATGGCTCTCTGTTCATGCTGGGAAGGACACCTGAGGGTGACTCGTTGATAGGTGACACCCTTAGCTCAGCCTGGCATGGTTTTCCTTAAGGAAATTCCATTAAGAAGTGCAATGTCTCAGCACTGTCAGCTCACTGAACAATCTGCAGGACAAGTTTCATTGGAGCCAGAGTATTTATTTTGTTATGAAAGTTGCCAAGGCAAAAACCCAATTCGCTCAGAAATTATGCACTTTTTCCTTCTCAGGAAATATCACATCTACCAGTCAAACTGAAGAGACTTATTCTCTCCATTTCTAGAAAGGCTGTGTCATTCTTGATAAACATTTCTATTTTGCTCCAACTTTTTCGTAACTACAAAAGAATCCTCCTTTAGCATTTCCATATTGTCCACCTAACATATGTGAGCTTTGAGCGAGTACACAGATGTATATGGCTTGTTTTTTCCCTTAGGATGAGCTGAAACTAGCAGTGAAGCAGGGGGCCACCCTGCTGACATGCATTAGGGAGCCGGTCACCCGGAGCGCCAACAGCAAACTCAGTCCAGATGAACTGGAAAATGTGGCAACGGTGGAAAGGTCAGTGAAGCTAGATTACTTTGAAGCTTAATGAAGAAATGCACACGTAATTTGGGTTCTTGTTTAAATGATTTAAGTGCAGGGATGATGAATTCCCACTGGTTTGCAGTTGCTCGTGGTTTATTGGATAGGTGACCGAGAGAAGAGACTTGTTATGGGGTGTTACTTGACAAAACTGGCCAGTTTGGTCAAACGGGTCCTGAATGCTTTTGGTTGGACCATTACCTATCTGGCTGCAGGTTTAATGTAGGGCTTTATTTTCCCCACAACATGCACATCTTCCAAACTTCTGGGCTTGCTGAGAAAGTGACACCTAAAGTCATGTGCAGTGATGGGGAATGTGCTCATGGAAACTTGAGAGAGGGACAGATAAAGAAGACAGTGTGAAACAAAACCCTGCTTGGCTGCAGAGGGGCAGAGAGAAGTCCCTGTGCCTTCCTACAGTCCTAGTTATTGCCATAAGCTTTTAGGCACTATGTAGGAGTTTCCCCCTGCCCTGTGATGCCATAGAAAGAGAAATGTCATGTTAGTGTTTCACAGAGGTTTTGTGGGAATAAAAGTGTCAAAAAATAAAGCTGAGTTGCTATTTTTTCACTGAATACTTTAATATCTGAAGTTAGTCATCCCAAAAGAATTTGTGAATTCATCTTGAATTCATCAAGCTTTGATTAAGAACATATTTTTCAGAGATCAATTGAAAACTGCTCTGCTTTTAAGATGAGTAGAAGGGAGGTAGTGGTGTTTACCCTGGTAATTTGGTGATTCGAACACTGGCTCAGCCTGTAGGACACCAGGTTCATTCTCCCGCTTGTCCAAAATTCTCTCTTGGAACTGTTCTACTTTGTAGAATATTTTATTCACCATTTGGAGACTGTGCGAGGAGGATGACTCAGTAGTCTGGTGTGTCAGATACATTACTGAGGAGAGGGAACTCCTTGATACTTCCTTTTCCAAAAAAAAAAAAAAAAAAAAACCCTCCCTTATCTGGTGGCCAAAGAAATTGAACACACATGATTGTCACTTGTCTGTCACGTTCCCCCCTGTCCCAAATATTCCACTTTTGCGTAAGGGAGACTTGACACAGAAATCTTGTTCTGCTGCTCACATAGATGTAGGTTGCCCACCATCTCTCATTCTGTAATATACTATATATACTGTAGGAGATGAGTTTAAGTGCTTTTCACTCTTTTTTAACAGGTTGTTGGCTCAGTTGGATGAAACAGAAAAGGCTTTTGATCAATTTTGGACCAAGCATCACTTAAAATTAGAACAATGCCTGCAGCTTCGGCACTTTGAACATGATTTTAGAGAGGTACATCATTTGTTCATTATGTCTAGCTCTTTCTGGTAAATATGTTCAAACTTTAAGCTGTAGTTAGAGTATACTGGCAGCCTTGAAAAAAAGGTTGCAAGAGAAACCCCTGCTTGTAAAATAGGAAGAGCATATTCAAAAATAAAACTTTTATCAACTATCAGGTATCTTAGAGCATTTAAATAAAGTGAGGAAGGTGCCAGCCTGCCAGGTCAAATGGGAAACACCAACTTCTTGATAAATCATTGTGTGTTTGAGTGATGTGTTACCATATACCACATCTTCGGTGATGGTATGTGCCCAATCCTACCTAAGTCCCAGTCTGTGAAATTCAATTCAGTAAGCCTCATTATCAGCTCTGAGGATGGAGTAATAAAGATTTTGGAATAACAGAGACTCTGACTCGGTCAAAGTCTGTAAATCTGAGCTGGCCTAAATAAATAATGAAGAAGGGAAGCAGCTCTTTGAAGAATAGTTGGATATTACTTTATGCTTGGCTTTTCTATTCTGAAAGCTGAAAGAGAGAGACAAATATTTAGAACCTATGCCTTTGTTATGATTTTACAGATGTCCTATGAAGGTTTTTTTTTTCCCTTCTTTGTTAGGTGAAACTGGTGTTGGATAATCTCATGGAAGCACAAGCAAGTTTTGCTGACATTGGAGACAGTGTGACCCGAGTGGAGAACTTCCTGAAAGAGCAAAAACAACTGGAAGAAAAAGGACAGGTTTGCATTCAGTATCATATTCTAGCTGCTATAGATATGTTCTTCTAGACAAATCTATAGGTGTTCTTACACTGATATCACTGTTCTTATACTCTTTCAATGTCCTTACATCACCCACTCTTCTCATGGGACATGATTTCAAATTGCAAAACTAGGATCCTAATTTCTGAAAACTTGGGTTGTTTATTATCTGGAAAGATGGAAGACAGATGAAAAACCTGCATTTCAAATCCGTTGAATAAATCAGTAAGTTGAATCAGAGGAGAGTACGCATGAACAAATGAAAAAGCCACTGATCTTTTTTCTTAAGAGAATTAAGATTTAAAAAACTTATCTTGAAAAATTAAAAAAGGAACCAAAAACAAAGAAACTAAAGCATTAGAAATCTGCTAATTGCAAGTGAAAAATAATAGCATTTTGGGTTATTGGGAACTTCACAGAAAAAAAACTCATATATCAGTATCCCCACTGTGAAAAAGCAAAGACATATACTCCCCTGTTTATAAAAGTACTCTTCGTGGTTAGATCATTCTTAATCAAGATTTGTTCACAACATACCCTTTAAAGCACTAAATGCTTTTCTCCCATTTGATATTTATGGTATCAGGGACTGCTCTTAAGTCAGCTGAGACAAACAACTTACAAAACTGATCTAGTTTAAAATCATGTCTTGCTTTCCATGAAATGGTGAAAGTTCTTCTGGGGACCAACAAAGAGTTCATAATAGCTGGGAACAGTTGATGTTTTGAGTGCCATAAGTGGTTTAAACTCCCTTAGTTTGACTTTGCCCTGGAAACAGCCAGGAACTTACACGCTCCTTAACAATTGTAATGTGGTCTTCAATGCAAGTTTAAAGTAAGACCTATCATCTAGATGAATATTCCACATCTTTAGCTCCAGGCTACACCAGGGTTTACAAAGATTGGTTCTTGTTATTAGTCACTTTAAAATCTTTTATTTGTTTCTCATTTATTTCACAGGAGCCTTTGGAGAAGGCCCAGTCTCTAGCTCTCCATGGAGAACAGCTCATCCAAAACAACCATTATGCAGTTGACTCCATTAGACCAAAGTGTGTTGAACTCAGGCGTATTTGTGATGACTTTACCAATGAAACCAAGAAAAAGTACGATATTTTGGGGAAGTCTCTTGAACTGCATAAGCAGTTAGATAAGGTAAGTGAATGTAAGTGAGGTAAATAAGTCTTCTCAGTGAATGTTTCTGGTGAGGTTCTCCTGAAAAATGAATCCATGGGTAATTTGGATGAAGGAAAATAGGATTTACTCCTTTTTTCTCCATTTCATTCTGAAAGTGCTATTATAAAAACTGGAGTAGTAGCTTCTCATAAACGTGGTCCTGAAATGGTAAGAAGTGGGATGTAAAATTACGGAAGAATTGGAAAAAAAAAAAAAAACACACACACACATTCTGAGCTTAAAATCAGTTTCTTTCTCATTCAGTTGTTTTCATTTTTTTTTGGATTTGACTAGAATAGAAAGCTAAAATGCTGAGTGTCTGTGCACTATTGCAATTTAAATTGAAACAGGAATTACCAGAAAAATTCTGAGAAGACCTTCTTTCGATTATTTTTAACCATTTTTTTTTTTTACAGACCTTAGAAGTTTGGGGGAGTTCTGATTCAGTTCAAGTATCCGCTTTGATTTTTAGATAATTTTGTGGCTTTGAAATGTGACATGCAGTGTCAGTTTGTGACACTGAAATGACATAGCATAGCTGAAAGTTTTGATTTGCAGCAACTATAGTAGCACTCCTCTTTCTTGCTCAGAATATTATTATTTTACATGTTAGTGGGCCATCTACCTCATGAGACCTGAGTTTGATTTACTGTTGCTCTATGTTATTCAGCGATGTGAGTTGTGACCAGGAGCTGTTGAGTGCTATGAAGTAACGTTCATTCCCTTTTCTCGACAAATATTAATATTTCATAAGGTAGAAGCAAATTAATATTTGCTTTCATAAGGTAGAAGCAACATTTTCCAATGTGGGCTCTCAGAGATGATGGAGACCTTGTTGCCCCCTTTTTTCTTTAAAGGCAAGCCAATGGTGCGAAGCTGGAATCTACCTCTTAGCTTCCCAAGCTGTGGACAAATGCCAGTCACAAGAGGGAGCTGAAACAGCACTTGTTGAAATTGAGAAGTTCCTGATGACAGCTAAGGAACACCAGTTGTCTAACCCTAAAGAGTTCTACAATCAGTTTGACATGATCCTCACCCCAGAAATAAAGGTAAAATACCTTGGACTGAATGTATGCGTTCAGGTAGAATTTCAAAGTAGCAATTCATTTGTACATGACAGAGTAGTAGGTTGTGTTTTTTGAGTGTGCTCAAATATACTTCTTTTGATAGTGAAGCATTATAGGGCACTGAGATGAGTGGTGGGGACAAGAGCTTTTACACATGGGAGTAGTCCCAGAACACGTAAGTTATTTTCTTCAGAGTAGTGCTGCGAAGACTGCATGAGACACCACTTCACGTGGTGAAATGAGATCTGTGAAGAGTGGGTTGTATTAGCACTGAAGTTACACAGCATTATCTGCAGCTATAGGACACCTTGTGAAAGTGGTGGGGCCAGAATTCATGTTCCTTCTTAACCTGGCCCTGGCAGCTATCAACTGTTTGCATTTTATTCCCTAGGCCAATGCCCAGAAAATACTACAGAAGCTGGAAGATGTACAAGAAATGTTTGACAAGAGGCAAGTGAGTCTGAAGAAGCTGGCGGCCAAACAGACTCGGCCAGTGCAACCTGTTGCCCCACATCCTGAATCTTCCCCGAAGCGAGGCTCGCCGAAGACTACTAGACCCGCCGGAGTAGGTACGTGCCACGGCAGCTGCTTTCAAACACACTGCCGTGCTCTGGCCCCACGGTTGTGCTTAGTTTTTGTCATCAGAATGAAAACTTGTGTTTGATGTTCTGGCCTTTAAGCCCAGATGTTAAAAATGAATGTGAAATATCTATTGCTGCAAGCATACAAGGGTGAATCAAAACATTTCAGGCTCCTCAGTTGAGTCTGCAGAATGCATTTCTCTACTATTTCTCAATATATCTTATATGAGTTATTTTTTCTGGAAAACCCCTAACTGGATAGTTGCAGGCAAGTATATAAAGTAAGCATCTTTTACACTGCCTTTACTGTAATGTGAATATTTTTGGCTTTAAAAGATCTCAATAATATCAATATCAATGAAGTAATGCAAAGACTAACAAAGGTAGCATTAGTGACGCTGACTCATCTGTGTCAGCAGATTCTTCTGTTCTTTTATTTTCCTTCTAAGAAAACACTTACTCATCATCTGGTGTTGTCCTCTGCTAACTATAAAATTTGAACATTGCCTGTTAGGAATTTACAGAAAATTTCAGATTTTAAGTTAGTGTGTGGCTTTAACCAAAATAACTATTCTCTGTAGAAAGAATGTGGGTGAATCTGGTTGAAAATAGCGCATTTTGGAGGCCAGCCCGCAGTTCCAGGAAGGGGTTTTCTCTTTTCAGCAAACAAGGTTAAAAGATTTTTGAAAATGGAATCACAGGGTTTTTTGAAAGGGGAACATTTATCAGAAAGCCTTGAAAGAGTAAACTGATTTGCATGAAGACCTTGTATTAAGCTTTGCTTTCTCAACAGGAAAATTAGGCAAGCCAGTAACATGACCATTTTGCTTTCTTGAGATTTTTATCACATGCTCTTACAAATGTTCCTGTCATCCCCCTTCACTTCCCAGGTTTCGTTCTTTCTGGACAAAGATCATCTTCTGTTTCCACTTCTCTTGCCCACTTCCCAATATCTGTATTTTTTCCCCAAAATGTATCAGTGCTAGCTAGAGGTGCTCTAAAAATAGAGTTGCCTCAAGGTGTGGTTTTACTGGTGTCTTAAGGCAGGTTAAGACCACAGTGCTTTTCAAGAAGTTTTGCTTTGCTGCCCACATCCTCCAGCCTTTCCCTCTTCAACTGTCATTAGGAGTCAGCTGTGTGATAGTCATAGAAGTAGCTGTGTAGTTTTGTTTCACCTTGAAAACTTAATGAACTAACTAATAAAAAGTAGTAGTTTTCCATTGTATGGGCTAGAAAAATTTAGGGAACTGTGAAGATCATGTATTGCAATCACCTGCTCTAAGCAGCACTGATCTCAAAACTGATCAAGTTGCTCAGACTTAGTCTAGGTGGGAGCATGGATTTGGAGTGGTCCTAAGGGGTCCCAAGTCCTGGTTAGACATTAATTAGCCTAGACTGTGTCATTCAGATGCTTTGTGCTTGAAGATGGTCGACCCAAAGTACTGCTGTGGTCCCAAAAAATCTCCAGCTTATACTGGGACCTAAAAACAATTTAACCGCCATCAACAGTATGTATATATTTACATATAGTAGGCAATGGTATCCTCTATACACTGCAAAGGGTCCTTCTTTGGATTTGTGTAGTGCCACTGCCCTCAGACTGCCAGAGCACTTCCCAGGCCTGGAGGAGCTCTGGGGCCTCTTATGGCCTCTCTTGCAGAAGGGAAGCTGGAGCACAGAGCAAGTGGTTTCTGAAGGAGGTTTCAGTCTGAGTCAGAAATGTGGCTGGGAGTAGAAACAGGGACACGGTGCCTTATTCCAAGCCTGGGAAATGAGGCTGTGAGAATCTCTTCTTTAAGCTACCATCTATTGGACTTTCCTCTGTGCCCTTCATCTGTAGCTAGGCTCACATTTATCCATTCCTCTCTTTCAAGCTCTCTGAGAACAACTGACATATTGTAGTCCATTAATTTTCTCTAAAGATGCATTTTGTGTTAAATAGTAACCATGCACAGCTGTTTCATGGGAGCAGGAAGCTCTTCCATGACCCTTGAGATAGTACAAATGGGTCCTGCATGAACCCCGAAACCCCACAGTTTCCATCACAGGCTGGAGTCAGAGTTTATGTATGGGGAGAATTTAGTGGGGATAGTCTTTAAAAGAGAAGCAGGAGGCTAAGATTGCCCTCCTGGAATAGATTTTGTAACTTGTTGTTATTTGTGACCTAGAACATACCTGTATATTGCTAAAATCCTCTGAAATATAACATGGCAACAGGAAACTACCATGTTCCTAGGCCAGGAAAAAAGGAGGATCATCAGTTTGTTAGGGCTGTGCTCCCCAGGGACCCTTGGCAGGGTCTCACCTTAGTGACATGCACATAGCAGCAGCTCAGCTTCCCCAAGACCGTTTCCTCATGCAGGTTGCACCATATGCCTTTGGAACTGGAAATTCTGATGCAGTGCTTTAAAATCATCCCATTTTTGCTTGAAGCTTTTTATTTCCCAAATGCATTTGTGAATTCCTCAGGAAGGAGCCTGTTCAGCACTGTAAAACTAGTGCTGGAACTAGCATGATCCCCATTGATTTGCAGATGAAACCAGTTGGATTCGGTGAGAATTTTATCTGTGGGAACCTGCTTAAATATCATTGCAGATCAATCCAGGAAAACTTCTGCTAATATTTCAGTAGCAAATGCTTTGAAAATCTTTAAGTCATATATATGGAACTTCATTTTGAGCAGTTTGTTTATGCCTAGTGGGAACTGCATGAACACAGCTAATGGCAAAACTCACCCCTGTGTAGGCTGGGGGGAAAGAGGTGGCACCTGATGAGAAAATTTCTTCACTCGAGTTCACTTCTAATACCTTGGCTGCCTGTTTGTGAGCTGCATCTCTGCTCAGAGCTCCTCGGCTGGAAGGAACTGGCCCAGGTCTCCACACTCCCTGCAGGCTGGTATTGACTATGGGCTCTCAAGCACAGTGGGATAATCCACAGAGCCGTACAGGATAATATAGGCTCTTGGTGCTGGCTGTAATTAGCATTTCTCTGTATTTGCTGGTAATTCTGCCAGGCTCTTTGGAATGAAACTTTCCCAAAGGGTATCTGATTAAATCTGACATTTTCTTGGAAAACTTTGACAATACGCAGTTCATTCACCTCAAACTAGAAAAATCTCTTTGTTTTAGTTGCCTTTGTGGCAAGAGCAGTACCAAATAGTTTTGTCCTTTTTTAAAGTGCTCAGATATAGCAGAATTAGAAAAGCCTGTGAAAAAACCCCAAACCTTCAGCTCACACACGCTGGCTGTGCGTGAACTTGCTGCACTTTGGCTCCTGGAGTCTCATTTCCTTTGCTGTCAGCAAAAATGTGGAGCCTACAGAAAAAAGTGTTTCTGGGCCCGCTGCATTTCCTTTGAGTATGATCCTGCAGCAGCTTCAGGGCAGTCTCAGGCTGCTTTTCTCCCCTCTTGCCCCCAGAGGAGGGTGATTCTGACTTTTCTGCACATCAAAATGAATGGACGCAGAGCTAGAGGGAGCAAAGGAGGGAACTGAGAAGCCTCAGTGCGGGATTTTTTGGTTCTGGCTGGCACAGTTTGGTTAGCCCAGCTCCCCACAGCCTCCTCATCTAGTTGCATGAAGAGCAGTGCTGCCAAAGAGAGGGGAGAGAAGTGCATGGCCAGGGAGGAAAGGGGCAGCGGTACCAGCCCCAGCTCAGAGGGGTTCAGGTGTCCCCAGGTCACCAGCAGCTCCCGCTGCTTTGTCCCTGCTGCCTGGGGAAGAGAAGCTGGCACTGCAGGGCTGAAAGGTTCCAACCCCATTAAATACCTGTGTGAGTGTTAACATGAGTGAACTTAGTGCTATTTTGGGAGCTTTATTTTTAATAATTTGTACAACTAAATTAAAAATCTCCATCGAAAGGGCAGTGAAAGGCTGTGAAAGCAGAATGAGCAGGCGGGCACTCCTGAGTGTGTGAAGCACAGGTCCCTCTGAAGCTCTGAAAACTCAGTTCTAAAGACGTCAAATTGGTCCTTCACATGAATGGTTTCTTTTCTGATTTTTTGTCTGAGAAATTTGGAGATCTCAGCAGGAATGATAGCAGCCTGTTACCTCTGAGTATTGTGAAGCAAGGAAAAAAAAGACAATTATTTTCAGAGCAGGGCTTGGAACAGCATATAGATGATAAGGCTCTGGTTCCCCAGTGAAAATGACAGATAAATCAAGATAGTGAATAGCTGCTCATAAAGTAAGTGTTATTGATTCCATGCATTGAATCAGGCAGACGTCCTTAGGGAGATTCCATGCATTGAATCAGGCAGACATCCTTAGGGAGGGGGAGAGAAAATAGTGTGTGTGCTTGGTGATGGTTTTATCAAGATATCCTAGGAGGAGGAGGCAAGGGGCAAAACCAGGGTTGCACGTGTAGCTTTCCCTTTGGCACCTCTTGTCTTCTGAGTGCAGCAAAATGTTCACCCGGGGATTTCTGTGGTGTGCAGCCTAAATGGGAAATACAGGAGCAGAGGAGCTGACATTTCTGCGAGCTCATTAGGCAAGTAACGTGTTTAGCATGAAACCCATGACTCACCCCGCAGGCATGCGGGAAGGCCGGCTTGGAACATGAGCTTCACATGGGGCAGCACAGCTGGAGCCCTTTCAGTCCATCAAATAATAAACATAAACCGGTTCCATCTCACTGCAGTGTATGTGACTGCTCATTGGATCTGTTCCAGCGTTCCTCACAGTCACCAATGCATAACACTCGCTAACCAGTAACATCTGGATTGAGGATAAAGGCAGAATATCCTGCAAGAGTCAGGGCATGTGTGCAGGGGAAGTGAAGCAGCAGAGACATTAGCTGACTCAGAAAAGGCTGTGAATGTGATTTCCATTAATGGCTCTTGGGAAACCACCAGTTTCTGTAGCTCAAGAGCCTTCTATAAAAAAAGTAGAGAGAATGAAAAGATGCTTTTAATTTTGTGGCTGTAGGGCTGCTATCGTGTTTGGCCAAGTTGGAGCAAAACGAAGCAGTCTGTCTCCTTACAGAAGAATACTCCATGTATAGCAGGTCTCACTCTCCTCCTCTTATATGGGCAGGTTTTGGGGGGATTTGATAGCAATTTTGCTAGAGCGCAGAAGTATAGATTATTTTGCCTAAGAATGGAAAAGACTTTGTGTCACGTTGCTCACTGCTGAACCTTACATGCTGTGGTGCTTCTCTGGCTGCCCAGCAGGCTCTTTTGTCATCACCAGCGCTCAAAGTCTCTATTAAGTCATGAATTATCTCCCGAGCGTGATCCCGTGGGGCAGCAAGCCCCAATAAAGAGCTGAGCAGACTGCTCATTCCCCTGCTTGTTCTGGCCAAAGGACCTTGATTCTGCTGTAGGTGGTTGCAGAGAAGGGCACAAATTCCCCCAAAGAAAGCAGGCGGGGGGGCTCGCGGTGGGGGATGCACGTGAGCCCTGAGGGCAAAGCCTTGTTCCTCCTGGAGGGGGGCTCCAAATACCCATCTTGCAAGCACAGGGTGGGTGTCAGCATCCTTCACCACTCACTCCTTGTCGTTTGCCAGCTCCTGAGTTGTTTGCTCCAGGAGGAGCAAATTTGAGCCCTGTTGCCCAGATGGGCTGACCCAGCTGTCACTGAGCACCTGGACACTGCTCTCATGAATGTCAGGGGCATCGTGTCTGCTCCTGCATTTCCCCAGTGCTGGGGAAAGGGGTGGAAACAAAGCTTTTCCCCCAAGGCAGCACAGCGAGTTTTCCTCACTGAATTTGCCCTGGAGTGATGGAGAGGCTGCAAAGCAGCTCCAAGCACAGGAGCCTGTTTCCTTTCCTAGCAGCTTCAGGGACAGCACTGCCCCGATGGCCACTAATTGGCAATAAACTGTAATGTTTGGACTGGATGGACTGGATAATGGATGGGCTAAAGGACTGGATAAACCATAATGTTGTCTTTATTGTGCAACTTATTCATAGAAAACAGGAAGAGCAGTAGTAAAGTCACAGTGGAGAAGCAAAGTGGTGCTCCAGGTAATCACAAGCAATAAACCCAAATGTTGCTTTTGCTGTAATTATCCTTACAACTGAAACACTACTTCTACATACAAAATCCTTCAACCATCTTTGCTTTAAAAGCCACACTGAGCAATTGCAAATATTATCCAGTTGAAAAGAAAATCTTTTAATACTTGTTATGTAAGGAATAGACACTGCAAAGAAGTAGGATGAAAACAGGCCAGAGTCTGTGCAGACCTTACAGGCAGATAGGTTTGTAGCCTGCGCCTTTGGCCTTTCAGTAGAGGTTTTCAGTTGTTATATTTTCTTAAATGACACGCTCTGAAACTTTCATTGCAGCTTTCTCAGCCATTCAGTACAGAAACATCTTTGAAACCGGCAATTTTGCTGGATACTTGAAGTTTCTCTTTTAACGTATTTCCCATTCCAGGGTAATTACTGTAGTAATAACTGGCAGGTATTACGGCTGTTGCTTCCCAAAGGTCTCCAGGAGCCCTTTAAATACAGTGACATGCAGCAGTCTCTGGCTATGGGCCTCCCAGCTCCCTGCTTTGAATTAATTTTGGGATAGAGTTGGTGGGAGCAAGTTTGCTGTGCCAGTCTGAACCAAATTCCCCTCTCTGAGATGCAGGCAGTCGGATTTGATTTTGTCCTTATCTTGCCTCTGCCTCCTTCCTTCTGGAATCCATCACTCTGATGAAGCCAAGATGAAGCTAGAAAATTGTCCTGTGTAATCTGGTGGATCAAGGAGCATCTGCACTTGGGCTGCTTGTGAAGGCATCACCTTTCACTGAAAACATCCTCCTCTTCCTTAGATCAGCTGGAGTCCTTTGAGTTTTTTAAGTCATCAAAGTCACAAGTGGTTTCCTCATTTTTCTGCAGACTGTTTTTAGCCAGTGTTTCACACCTGCATCAATCATCCCATCAAGCTTAAAACCTTTCCACCTAATGTGAATAGTCAAACAACCTGGTATCGCTGACTGTGCTGTTCTAAGACCAACTTCTCATGTTTCCTAAAATTATTTCCTCTGTTCCCTTAATAACACATGTTCAGCACATACGAGACTCTGGGGCTGGCTTTGTAAAACAATCCAATTGCCTGAACTCAGATTTACGTAGGGTCGCTGGATATTGGCAGCATTTCTAGGCTATTCAGGAATTCTAGGGAAAAAAAGACTGATTAGAAACTTGGTAGCTGTTAATAGAAGTGTATGAAATAATATTTTTAATCAATATAGGATTTTTCTGGTAAAGTCTTTTTTGTTTTTGACATTGCTATTTTTCAAGTTATGGATAGGCTATAGTTAGGAGATGCATCAGAGGACAATCTTTCTCAATGAGATATGTATGATCACAGCCTTAGCCTTGTCACAGTCTTGGTAGATGAGACTTCAGAGCTAAACAGAATCATCCAGATGCACTAACAGCAAATAGTGATTTTAGCAATGCCTATAGACATTCTACTTGAGGATTTACTTGGGGATTTACAGTGGGGGGGGGAAAAAAAGCATAAAAAGGCTCATCTGAAAATGTATCAAATAGTCCATGAAGGGCAGGGTGTGCTGCATTTACCGATGGTAGAAATTATCTTCCCAAGAGATTGGAAACTTGTATAAAAAACATGACCAAAAGGACAAATAGCTTATCCTTGTTGCATCTTGTCTGTCTTTCCCTTGTTTCTAAATGTCAGTACAGCATTGTAGGGGTGAAATAACAGTATCTTTGAAGGAGCAATTACTTCATGAAAAGCTCTTTTGTAGAAGGCATCTGTTGAAAGCAACACTTGAAACCAAAACAACCCCCCTGCTGCATATCCTAGCAAAGAGTGATGGGGGAACCAAATAGCATCGACATCTGCATTTCAGCTCAGTCCTGGGAACCAGAAGCATCTTCTACCAGTTGCCTACAGCCACCGGTGGCTGCCAGACTTGGCTGCTTCATTGCAGCAACTTCCTAAAAGGGAGACATTGTGAGGAGGTAACAGGCATGATGTGCACGGTGCCAAGTCCCTGTGGGATTCGGCATGCTGTAAAAACAGGAGGATTTAGGGGGGAAAAAAATGGAGAGAAGGTATCTTGATTCTTACCCTAGTTGTATGAGAAGGCAGTTGAAAAGGCATTTCTAAGGGTAGAGAAAAGGTCAGCTTCTGTTGTCACTGTGAGGCCAATATCTTCTGTTTTTCTTAACTGCACATAATTTGGGGGCATTCTGTGCTTTGTTTTTGAATGCAGAAACAGGTAAAGTTAATGACAGGGTCATTCTAAAATCAATTAGCACATAAAGGTATTTATTAAAAGCTTTTGCTCTGCTCCTGTATGAGTCTCCTGATACTATCTGCATCTTTCCCATTCAAAAGAAGTCAGTCCAGGTTCCCTGGGAACTAGAATTTCCACCTCTCAGCCCAGGTTTTCTAATGGTTCTGTCTTTTTAATTCCTTTAGCTACCAACAGGAGATCCACAGAAATTTCCTGCCCTCCAAAGTCCATCTCCGAGGTAGAGTTATCAAAAAAGAAAAATGTCAAGAAGACTAAAGGCGGAATCAAGGTAGGAATATCTTTGGTTTGGGGACATTCTACATTGTGAGAGAAGACAAAATAGTTAAAGTAAGGTCAACATGTATATTTATATAAATAAGAACAATTTACCAGTTAGTCTTTGCAAAGTTTTTCATGCTTCACATTACAATCTGAAAGTTATTTACACAATATTGTTAAAAGATTTAAGTTCACATGTGTGGAAAAAGAACTGGACATCACGTCCAAAGGATGAAAGGGGGAATGCAGAGAGAAACCCAACTATTGCACATTAAAGTGGATCCAGTACCACTTCTTCCTCATACCATGAATCATTTTGTTCCCAAAACAGGAATAATTTCCCAGCTTCTCTTAAGTTAAGCTGTATTATGTTCAGAATTTTACAAAGTTATACATGTTTTCCTTTTTCAGGTATTTTTTCAATGACAATTTCTACCCAAAGGAAGAAAGGATGCTCATTTAATACTTAAAAATGAAACTGTAAACAAACAAAATAAAAAAAAACAAAAATGCACTGTTACCTATTTGCTGCATGGTCAAAAACAAGAAAAACCTGTTAAACTCAGGCAACACCTCATTTGTATTCCTTATTTCAAATGTTTGCTTTCAGACCATGCAAACATACTTTTGCAGAGAGGTAGCAGGAATCCTGCTGAGGGTGCAGTCTGCATGGGTCTGTGCTATGGATGTATTTCATAACTTTGCCAATATCTACTTTAATTTCAAGATTACCAAAAGTAAGACATAAAGCAGAACATAGGTAGGGCCACTCGCAGGCTTTAAAATAACAATATCTCCTTGATAAACTTTTCTTTCTTCCCTTACTCTTGCCTTAACAATTCATATTATCAGCCCTGTAGGGCAGCATATTATTAGAAGAGCAAGAAGTGCTATTATTGAGACAGTCTTCTGAGAAAGAAGAGAACAAGAAGGAGCCCTAGCTGGGTTGAAGAAAATAAAATGAGCAACTGCTATTCAGAAAAGAGAAGCAAAAGAAAGTGGGTGGTGTGGGAGGGAGGTAGAAGCTTCACGTGGTTGTGCCCTATTGGAAAGGTGGCCGGGCTGGTTCACGTTGCTCAGCGGTTTGGGGAAGAAGAGAGCAGGATTTGTCTGGGGAAAGGAAATACCCCAACCAAAAAGAGTTTCTCTACATGGGAATGGAGATGTACAGCGTACACTAGTCCCCAGAGTTGCAGTTGTTAACCACTGAACTATGACAAAAGTCATTTAAAAGATGGTTGTGCTTTTGAGCCTATTCTTTAAATATGTGAAGTACAGCCTATAATGATCAGTGTCCCAAATCCTTTTTTCTTTTGTTTTTAATGTGACTAGATTCTTGAATATTCACTGCTCAGCTGTATTTTAGTGCTCCCATGGCCAGCCCAAAAGAGCTCAGTTCATTCCAGACCCGCTGCCAGGGCAAAGGGCTCCCGAAGCTGCTCCTGCTAATGGAGCAAACGCAGCCCCGCGTGCTGCCCGGCTGCAGGGCTCGGAGCAGAACAGCTCGGAGTCTGTCCCGCTCTGGACAAGGACTCCCTGCTTCCTGACTGGGAGATGATTCTTATTTACCACAGGAAGGAAAAAAAAATTACCTACAAATCTCCAATAACCTACAACTCTGCTGGAAGTAGTTAGTCTTCTCCCTTCTCACCTTCATTTGGGTTCACGTGCATCCCATCTTCCCTGCTTTCTCTGCCCAATACTACACACCTTGTTTTTTTAACATATATTCCTATCAGAAATCTTTCTTCCAGGTAAGAAAGCATATGGGCATGTAGAAAGACTACAACAACCCTCTTCTGTTTCTCATTTTGGATATATTTCTCACAGACAGATATCTAACACAGAGATCACATTTGAAGATAAAAATTGTGGCTGTTTTCTCCTTTAATCCATTATTATTATTAAAGTTATTACCGAACTAAGCATTTGGGATTTTTCTGATTATTAGTAGGCAGATCACAAAAAAACACTCATGTTCTCACTTCTTATCCACTTTATATTTAAACGATAAATAACTACACACTGCTGTACTGCTTTGGCCTGAAGTATTCTATAGCAGCTTAATCCTGTCAGCACAAGTATTCCACATTTATATTAGAACTAGCTGTTTGGGGGAAGTTATTTATCTTGGGGAGGCAAGCAAGGAGGCAGTGTTACCCTGAAGGACTGAAAGGAAAAAAAATGAATCAAATCTCTATCTGGCATGATCCTATAGTTTATCTTTTGATGGAAGCATTAAGAACAAAAGTGAAAGATGCTTGCACCTAACTCTTGCGAAAGGTACCCTTTGTTTGCTCATATATTTGACTTTTATTTCCCTAAAGCTGGAAAGCAAAAATGGATTTTTTAATGGCCAAGAGCGTAGAGCTTTGGCAATAAGCTAAAATCTAGTTATTATTAGAAACACAGGGTTGGTTTCACCTGTGTCAAAACCCAAAGGACAGTTTGAATTTTGAACTCATCTCAACTCTTATCAGTAATAGAAGTGACCACTTACCATCTTCCTAAGTAGGTGTATACCACAGTATGGTACAGGCTTTGTGAAAATATAGTCATTCATTTTTAGATCTATTTTATAAATTGTAATATATATTTTCCTCCTCTCTTTCCCTTCTGTTGTGGCCACAGCATATTTGCAGTTTGCTCTTCCAAGAGTTTATATTTTTAATGTGTCTGCAGTCTTGCCTGTTCAGGATCTATTTTTTTCAAAAAATAATTAGCAAATCAGAGCACCAGCAGTTAAGCTTCCTTACTTTTAACGTGTGCTTCTCATTCAGATTGAAGTGATGCACGAAGCGAGCCAAGGAGGGTCGAGCAGAGTGCTGGTGATGAGCGAAAGCGATGAGAACCTGTCCACGAGGAGGAGGTAGGATCACACACCTGGGCCCGGGCCCTGTTCTGGCTGCCTTGCAATGCAAAACCTACCTTTAAGCACAGCCTCAGCCACCTCTTTGAAGTCCGCTCTGAGATTACATGCAACAAAGTCATTGCGATGCTTATAACCATGCATTTATGCAGTCTAGCAGTTAGTAAAGGAAGCAGGATTTATGGGGTTTGGGCCACCCTCTGCCTTGCCTTCTTGGTGTTACAAGTATTAGTAATGTGATGTGAGAAATTAGTCTTTAGAAAATTCATTAGAATCAGCCTTGCATATGTAATTCACCAAAAAATTTTTATCACAGTCTTGAGTGTCAGAAAGGGCCCAGGTGCCTCCAGTCCTAGCTGAACTGCACAGCCTCCGATGTGAGCAAGAAAACCAAATTACACACAACTACCCACTCCCCAAACACACACACAACACAATCTACAACCCAGCCCTGTGACCCATTTTCATCTTCACTATAATTTAGATAATGATTTATACTCAAGCTATGCCACTAGTTCAGCCAGGTACAAACTGAAGTGGCAAAAAGCTTAAGAAAGATCCATTTGCTTCAGTATCATAGACAGATTTGAGACATATATAGAAGTGCAACTTACTGTGAATTTTAGAGTCTTGTAAGTGCTCATGTACCCTATGAGAAATAACAGTGCAATAAAAGTACTGCCCTCCAAACTAACAGCTAATTCTCAAACTAGGTGAAGTTCAATTTGAAATAGTTTATTTACATAGGAAACCAATTCCCCCGTCCCCAAAGATGTATCCTTGAACATCTTGAAAGTATTTGAATGTGGGAATTAAACATGAACAGATTAAGCTTCTAATATTTGGCATTTTCTTCTTACAACCTCGGACTGGAAAGTGGATAAAAAATTATTGTTCTCTTTTCCCTCCTCTTGGAAACACCTATTTTGTTAGTTACTGGTTAAGTTAAAAAAAAGCAGAGGGCAGCAACTACCAGCTACAAGGAATGCAACAATAGATTGAAAAACAAAGAGCTGGTAAATAAAAAAAAAAAAGTCTTTATTCAAAACAAGTTTTACAAAACAATTATCTTTTGTGGTACAGAACAAAGTTTAAGAATAAATATTGAATATCTTTGTATAAAAATTAGTAATATCAAAGGGGAACCGATGCAAACCAAACGGTAAAAACAACTTTAGAATTAAACATGCTGTGCAACAACATCAAAACTGTTAATGAGGAGTGACCATTCAGGCTGATAGTTTCATCTGTAGAAGTAAAACCTGACAGCCCTGCATTAGAGCACCAACCATAACGCTTGTTAAAAGAAAACGTTTCCAGAAAAAGGTGTACAAATCCTACATCAGTGTTTACAACCAAAATTAAGAAGTTCTCTAGCTTCTCCGTTCTTGGGAAGGAGCGCCTTCATGCTTTTCTTGGAATTCACTAGCCCTTTCCTTTGTCACTGCAACAAAGTCAAATGCAAACTACCAACAGCAAGGCTCTTTTAAGATGGAGAAACAATCCAAAGGAACCAAAAAACCCCCTCAAACTAGCTGTGAAACAGAGTATTTCAATGGTCAGAAGTGACTTTCATTTACTAGCAAGCCTCACTCAAGCGGCATTTCAGATGTTAGCTAGGTAATTATGCCACAGAAATGTAAGCACTTACTGTAGCTTTGCTTGTATGAGTCAAAACCCCCAAATGCCAATGCCTACTTGTGCTGGAAGGACTGGAGTGTTAGCACACTTTAGATATCTATACTGCATATGAAAACAATCTTTTCCTACAGTGAACAGGTATATTATGTAGTGCAGTCTCATTATATAGCTTATTGACTTAACTTGGGTCACACCAGGTCAGAGACTTGATAAGGAGACTTTCCTTCAATGCTGAGTGCTCTCTCCTCTGTATGTGTATTTATTTCTCTACGCAGAGTTGATTATAGCTCTTTTATAAACATGTCAGTACTATAATCAATCTGCTTAAGCAATAACATTCATTTGATTTATTTTTCTGTGAATATTTTAAAATATTCTTTGGAATAGTAACTTCGATCATTTAGACACTGCAGGTATGCAGTTTATTTCTTCATATACTGAGTATTTGGGTTTGGGGATGTTGGATGCCCACTCTTTTCCTTCTCAAAAAAGAAAAAACACCACCACACTTCTAGAAAGTCACATATTTCACTTAACTCTAGTAGCTACCTAGGAGCCATCTGAAATGACAGCTTGGAGAAAAGGCAGCAAATTCACTCCTGGATTTTGTTTAAATTAACATTAACCATCCATACACTTACACCCTTAGCACAACTTCAAGAGTAGTAGCAATTGCTTAAACCAGGTTTGCTACTTACAGCTTAAAACCACCATTTTGTTTTAATTGTTTCTAAAGCAACATTTAAGGTTAGAGGACACAGATAGGCACTTCACTGCTCTCACACAGCCGTAACAGCGAGAACCTTTGGGGAGAAAAGGCCAATATTAAGACACCTTAAAATCAAACATTGCTCCTGTAGCTTTTGTACACTGCTGCAACAGATCAAAAAAAAAAAAAAAAAAAAAAAAAAGGCAGATGGTTGTTGGTTTCCAAGCCTTTGGCCTGTCACCACCATGCTGCTAAATTACTCATTCAAGCTCTCAGAAGCAGTTTCTTGACAGTCCACCTGAAATTCATTCCTGTGTCAAATCTGTTCCCAAGCAGTATCCGGCTGTACCTTGGGTGGTCTGTGTATCCACTCTGAAAGCTACCACAGGTTTGGCAATCATCAACCTGTCCCGAGAGCCTGTAAAGACACCTAAAGATGCAAGGAAAAGGCTGTAGAGTCCTCCCAGAATCTTGTTTTTGAGCCATGCACAGCACCACAGTAGATCTGTTAATAGCTAGTTTCAGTATCACTGAGTTTTATCCCAATTTGCAGTGTAAAGAGCATTTTGTTCATCTCAGAGGTAAATATTAACACTGAAACCTAATGAAGATGGGGGATTTTCTGGATACAAACTATTTTGAGGTTGTAAAGACCATCTTGTGCTTAAAACTTCTGAAAAAGTGTTAGTGGTTTGGATTTGTGCTTTGAGTTTCTGTGGATCACCACCTCCCTACCCCTTCACTGTGAAGTTAAACTTCCGAAGTGCATAAAATAGCCTCTGTAAACTCAGGCACAATTTTCCTCTTTTAAGTTCATTCACAGCTTCCCCAAAGCTGTAAGGAAGCAGTTTTCTGGAAAAAGGAAAGCCAGTTACAAACTTTTGCTTGGCTTTCACCTTTAGAACCATAACTGTGGGAAAGCAGAAGCAGTGTTAAAAGGTATTCTTACAGGATTTAGCTTATTTGCTAATCAAACATTGGAGTATTTGAATGTACTGCTTCAGTTTTCAGAAGGCAGAGAAGGATTAGCAAAACCACTTACATAGGTAATACTAGGTTTTGATTCTTTCAAGCTCACTCCCAATCTAATTGCATATGTTATGAGGTGCATATGTTACTTCAAGAACCAAATCAAAGGGTGCTCAAACACAACTTCCCCACTGCAAGCGCTTGGGGAGCTCAGAAATGAAGTTGTTGCAGGTCTTCACTTACAGCACTGCTTGCAGGTTACACAGATCAAGGGTTGTTTTCCAGGTTTAGCATTCAGAAATGGTGAATATTTCTATTCACTCTATATTGGCTTAAACTGAAGTAGAAGTCCCATTCCTTGTGTCAGAAGTTAGTCCTTGTTTTGAGAGCTCTACCATTTTGATAAACTCTTTTAAAAAAATGGGGCTTAGTTCACATTGAAAGACTGACAAATTCAAAGTAACCAGCATTTTCTCTATTTTCAAAGTCTGGAAGTCAAATCCATTTATAGTTCATTTAATGATAATCTAATCCAAACCTGTCTCCCTTGAAGATTAAGAACAGGCCACAGTGTGAAGCTGTAGTACAGTAGAGAACTATTCAAATTACAGTTTCCAGACAGAAGTTGGGACCACCCCCTCCATTTCCCTCCAAAACCTATTCACATTTCAGTTTTACCTCATTTTGAATAAACAGCTAAAGAGTTGTTGCTCCATTTTGGCTCAGTGGATCTTCAATGCAGATATTCAAGTATTAAGAGAATGCAGCTGAACAAGGGTATGTGTCCACATAGTATAACTTGCAGAGAAGCACAATATTAACTATTTTGCAATATATTCTACCAAAAAACCCAGAGGAAATCCTCCTAACATTGGGATCTGTAGCCTCCTTCCAGAGCTGGTGAAGGTCATCTACATGTCCATGAGATGTCATCATTTTGTTATAAATGCAGGGATGATATGGAGCCTTTCCTTCCCCTGAAAAAAATACATGGTATTGTGGTACAATTCCCATTTTATTGGCACAGAGACCCATGAAAACATCATCTATGTAGAGGCTTGTATTAAGAGTCTGTGAAGCCTCGTATACCTTAGCTGCTACATCACTTGATATTACATAGGCAGCTCCAGCTGTGTAGTCTGGATAAGAGGGCCACTGATACATTTCATATGGCACATAGTATTTGCTACTCTTGTCTCTTACGGGAGGGGATCCACGATGGACACGGCCAATCCAGAGATCTTGAACACCCATCTGTGCTAGACTTTGGAGATAGGCAACAAGATTTGGCATATGGATAAATATGTCATCGTCTGCAGACATGATGAACTTGGCATGAGGACAGTAGGCATTCACCCAGCTAAACTGCAGGAGTAATTTAAGAGTAAGATTGTGAAAAGTGTCTAAGAAGTCTTGCTGAATCAAGTCACTGTATTTCTGGTCTTCCAGCTGAAGTTTTCTTTGCAACTCTGCTCCCGTTGGTCGTCCCAAAGCAAAGAGTGTTTTAATGCTGGCATTAAGCTGAGAGCGAACGTACTTCTCGTTACCCCACGTTTGTCGAATTGCGTCCCTCCGATGTCGGTTTTCAGGGGACGTCTTCACAAACAACAGGAGAAGGACGTCCTGCTGCCGACACTTCTCTTTGTGGTTGATCAAGTACTGGTAGCTTGCTACCCTGTCCAAGTTATCCCTGTTGATGGACAGGCTGTTGTTCACAAAGTTGTAGCTATTTATGAGGTATCTGTAAGAATAGGACTTCATATGGCTCACAAACCTGTTATCAAATGGCCCCCAAAAAATCATCAGACACAGTATGAAGCAAGTGGCAAAGATCTGCAAAAACTGGCATTTTCTGACTCTCCTGGGATTAACAAACATTCTGAGGCAGTTCCTGCAATCCCAGTTCCCGTTCAGGATCAGTGTTTACAGCACTCCTCTTTCCGTTTCGGAGGACAGAGCCGTCCCTTCACAACAAGCGTCCATGGTGAGGCATGTCGTCGTTCCTCACTCAGTTCCCTCGTAGAAACGGACGTGATGGTGGGTTTCACAAGTCATCTTCCTCGAACACGTCCTCTGGGAGCACGCAGGCAGCTTCGGAGAAGGGTCCTCGCAGAACAGCGTTCTTCCTCGGCGGCATCCTGGCAGCAGCGTTTCCAGACGGAGGTCCCTCTCCTTCCCTCTACGGCAGCAAACACCTGCCAGTTTTAAGAAGGGCGAGAGGGGAAAATAGTACATTAGCGAGCTGCCATCCCCCCATCTGATTTCACATTTTGTCAGGGAATAGAGGCGACCATCCCAATACCCCCCACCTGCCCCCTCAGAAAAGCAGGCAGCAAGTAACAGCGTGCTGCCGGTGGCACGCCTGAGGGAGGTGGTGAAGGGCAACTTACTTCCCTTGGGCACAGAGCTACTTCCTAAGAAAACCCACTGTAGTCACAGATGGGAACCCCGCTCCTTCCCCCGTCCCAGGTGACGAGGCCGCCCCGAGGGACACGGTCACCGCCTGGCCGGCTCCACAGGGAGGGCAGCGAGGGGCCAGGCCGCACGCCGGCCCTGCCCACCACTGCCACCCTGAGGGGAAGGCAGGAAGGCGGCAGCACCTGCCCCAGCCGCCCCACTTCACCATGCTGGAAAGGGCCTTTAAGGTGCCGAGCTGCTCCACTCAAAGGCTTGAGGCCTGTGCTTTTTTGTCCCCCCTAGATGAGGCAGAAGTTGAGCTTGGGTTACAAACCTCTGGGAGTTACATGTTACATGTCAGCTACCAGCCAGGGCTGCCAAGAGTTGGTGCAGATTTCACTTGGGCATCACACTGACACTGCTATGCCAATGCTTGCAGCCAGGAGGTCCTGGTGTTGGCCAGAAATATCACAGGGTAACGCCCAAGTTGCACCTTCTTGCCCAACAGTATGGCAAACACAGCTCTTCTAGTGAGTTTAGTAGATAGGAGAGCTGAAACAAGGACAATTTAGCCTAGAAGAGGAGCTACTACTACAAGGTCAAGAGACCAAAGAGATTAAGCTCTCCATCATGCCAGAAATTCAGCCAGAAACTGAGCACCACTGCACGCCAACACCATCTCCAAAAGCAAGAGAGCACGAGCTGCCACCATTACATTAATAGCTACATGCAAAACAAGCATTTGAGAGTCTTACCCATTTGAGGTCTTGTGACTAGACCACAATGGGAGAAAGCAACCTAGACAAAGAAAACTTAGTGCAATATTCTGGTTTCCTGTTTAATGTGGGGAAGGGGCATGCTGCTCAAAGCAGGCACCACAGATTGCTGCGGCTAAGGCTTGCCCGTTGCAGCACATAACAGAAAAGCTGTATGGGCAGTTTGGGAAACAGAAGCGAGCCAGCACTTTTTATAGTATCAGTTTAAACCCTTTTTATTTTGGAAACATAGAAGTTAAACAATGCACCTCCACCGAGTTAAAAACTCAGCAGCTTTACAATAGTGTGCTATTGCAAGGCTTACTCCTGCGTCAGCTGCAGAGCAAAAACACACGCAAGAAGCTGGAGTGTTACAGAAACCTAGGCATCAGATTGCTCCTTTTGGAGGAGTTGGTCTGAACATATCTACTACCTCTTGAAAAGTGGTGACAAGCTTTGTTGCCCCCCAGCCCTGCACAGCTTCTTTGGCACTCCTTTCTAAAACAGTGTGTAAACTTGGCATGAAAACTGCAGCACTGTCTTACCCCCAGTTTACAAAGCACACCTGAACTTACATACAGCAGGCGACATGGAAAATAAGGAAAGGAAGGGTTGCATGCAATGTGTTTGGAAACAACAAATCTCAGTAGAGTTGAGGCAAAAAGAACAGCCTCAGCTTAAATACCAGCTTACTCCTAAGCCTCATGGCCTCTTAAAAGGAGTTGACCAAGGCAATCCATTTAACCACTTGAAGCAAGTTTACCTCAGTAAGCATAAGAGTGCTTGTCAATCACTTGGATAACAAGGTTTGGTAACAGTCTTCAACTATCAACTAGTTTGGTAACTAGTCTTCTAGTAAAAGGAAGGAATCACTGAGATTCCCTCAAAATACAAACATAATGATGGAGGTTATTGAACCTACATTTATAGTGTTCTGTGGTGGTGACAGTAACTATGAAGTTCCCATAGAACTAGGGAAAAAGAGTGAAATCTCCATACAAACAGCTTTAATTATGAGTAGAAGGGTGCTCAGGACAAAAAAAGGGAAGAAGTTTCCAGCTCTTCAGGACCCCCTCCAGACCAGTACAGATGTGAAAAAGAAAGGCCAAGACATTCCTTTAACTAAGCACAAGGCACAAAATCAGTCTCAACTTTCATTCCTCAAAACTAGATCAGGCAGCAGCCATTATGGCAGAGTTGTGTGAGCTTTTAGTTGACAGAATTTGTTCAGAATCCATCTCAGGAACATGCCCTTCAAATAAGTTTTAAATGCAATTATAGGTGAACAGTATTGATGAAGCCTAAGGAGGCATAACACCTTTCTCCCTCACCAAAAACAAACAAACATAAAGAAGCCTAGAAACTTCCTCTCACTGGCATTGAAGGTGCCAATGCCTTAGTTGCTTTTTGTCATAACTTTATGGATTATTTGAAATAACAGTCATCCTTTGGACTTCATCCCCCTCTCCTCCCCATAATAAAAAAGGGCAGGTTGAGTCACTGTATGAACCATTCATTGCCAACCCAGTCTCTTAATTCTGGGAGAGGGGAAAAAAGTGTTCTCCCTAACTTAAGGGCTTTTCTTCACATTAAAACCATGCTTGAGAGTGTTTTCCTGACTGTAATTAAGGTGCTTTGCCTCTTAGTGCACATTTTCCTACTTGTAGCTTGAAAAGTTTTATAGTACTCTCAGAACTAAGAAAAAATGGGAGATGCTCTTAGTGTAGCTGCCTTCCCTTCAGGTACAAGACCTAAAGGTCGGAGCTGAATGCAGTCAGTCTCCCCTCAGTTGAGGGCACTGCAAGCTTCTGTCTACCCTGCAGCAATCCAGCTTTCCCAAGAGGAATTTATTTGCTTAAAGTATTACTACAGGCATGACTGTTAGGCATTTGAATGTAGAAGTATCTGCAAATCTGTATTTTGTATTATGTACCTATTCTGTGATGAAAGAGGAGCTGTTATGTAACAGAAGGCCTTCTCTATAATTTTTGAAGTGACCATTGTGTAAAGCAGGTTCTTATAGAGCTACTTGACATGTCCACAGATTTCAGTATTGGAGAGTGCATTTCAGCAGAGAAGTACAGCAGTTTGGGAAAGTTCAGTGGGGAGAGACGGTCAAGAAAGGCTCTAAAACACCAACACACCTTAGATGAGAAACACCAGAGACTCACTTGAGACTGCAGGGAATCACAAATGTAAAAGATTTTCCCTCTATCCTAAAACAGGTACTAGATAAGACCTCTCAGCAAAGACCATCCACCCTGCTATGAAGTTTGTTATGTGGTACACCGCACAGCTTGGACAATTTGTCTACAATAGATCAGACTCCTTTCCACACATACATCTGTTTTAGGACAAAAGGCTTTTCTTTTCCCCTACTTCCCCATAGGAAGGAAGTTAAATTTAGATCACAGGAAGCTTTCCCAGGAAGCATTATTTTAAAGAACAGCCACTTTCCTACCATCATCTTATAGCAACAACAGTCTATTTCACATAAACTCTTACAAACTATTTTTCAAAAGGTTAATATTTCTTGCTCCTACAGAATCTTCAATAAGTTATTTAAAGAAAGAATAGCAAATATTTCCCTGCTCAGTGAAATACAGGCAAAACTGTTTCCTGTTAGACTTTTTCCTTGCTACAGTGATTATTTCTCTATCCTAACACCTGCTTTAATGTCCACCTTCTGTTAGCAGCACACAACAGAGCTTTTGGAAGCAAAAGATCATTTGAAAAACTCAGATATTCATGAATTAGCTGCTCTAAAATGGATAAAGCAAGTTTTCAGCTCTAAGAGAATACCTCAGACATTATCAAGTTGCAGACAGAAGTCATCTGTCTAAAGAGCACTCTTATCTCCATGCCTGCTTTGCCTTGGGTTTTCCCAGAGAACAGTCAGGTCATCTAAGGGTGGAGGTCCCTGTGATGACTGAGCTCAATCAGAAGCTCACTGCTGTCAGTCAGGGGAGGCCCTGCACCCTTTTCCCAACCCTGCCTTCTCATCCTCACCACAAAGACCTGCACCTTGCATCAACTCTAGATCTTATCTAGTTTCTCAACACCTCAAATTCAACTTACTCCTCCTGGTCCCTTACCCCTCAAGAAGCCACCTTTTGGCTCACTGCTATTAATTCAGGTCAAGCTATATATAAAGAATATAACCTCAGTTTACATCCGAACTATAGCATTGCTGTTGTTAAAACTGGGTGCTGCACTTGCAGTTTTTAAAATTGTCCATCTAACCCAACGCTACTTCCAGGCTACGTGTTCCTGAGAAAAGCCTAAAGCCCTGGGGCAGGGTCTTGGTCTCCAGACAGGAGAGCCCTGTCACACAGGCTATTCCAGCCTCTCCAATAACTGAATGGGACATCCAGATTAAGTAAGTGGCATCTCAGCAAGATGCTCCATCCTGCTGAAGAGCTTCAGCTGCCACATGGACTTCTGCAGCAGAGGGAATGTGTCCACTGTGTTCAACTACAGAAGTGATAGAAGCTTCACACTGCAGTTAATATCCTAGAAGGACTTAGATGGCAAATCTGACTGAACTCAAATTTAGACAGCATTCAAGTCTAGCATAAGGATGAGACTATTCTAAAGAGTTGAATTTTCTTGAAGTTAAAAAAAATTAAACAGGAGCTACAAGGTTCAGAGAGCAAAAGGTTTGGGCACATTCATAGGCTTGCAATAGAACTTAAAATCTACTGAATTTCTTCATCTTCAGCAGTATTTATTTATATATTGCTTGCACCAGATTACCAAAGCAAATCTAGTCTTGTCCAGTAAGCATTGAACAAACCATTAAAACACCAAACTGTTTATCAGGATTTCCCTTTCCTAATAATTAACAACCCTTTCAGGGGAACATTAGGTGAAAAGCTATTACAGAAATTTATTAGGAGACACTTGAAGCTGTGACCACCTCTTTCTCATTAATGCAGAGCATTGGTAGGTGTTGGGCAATCTATGAAATGTTGGTTTGCAAGGAAATTCAAGGCTTGGCAGAGCACTTGAGTGAAGCCTTTCAACTCC